TACCTTGAAGTGTAAACTTGTTTAATAAACCATATCTTTCATTTTCGATTTTTAATTCACGTAGTCCGGGAACTTTCCGGACAAACTGTGTATAAGAATTAGAGCTTTTCGAGATATATTATTGAATTTTTAAATATTTGAATTTTTTCTGCATAGTAAAAAAGCAATTTAAAACAAATTGTGATTTTCACGCAATAAGTTTGCACACTAGAAAAGTATCTTCTTGAATCGCGGAAGAAAGTATGTAGTGGTATGCTTTGCTTCAGAAATTCGTAGAATTTTCTCGAGTTTTAAACATAAAGACAAGCCTGGATTGCCTTCCAAAAACACTTAATTATTAAACATATAAATTATTTACGCAACAACTGACATTTTTCCTTGCGCTAGTACGAAAAATTTGTGGCGACTCTTATCTTCTTGATAAATTTGGTCACGCACACGCCGATAATTGATTTATATGCAGTCATGCTAGTCTGAGAATCACAAGAGTTTGAACTCGATTAAACCGGAAAACGATAAGCGCTCTATATATTTTGCAAGTTTGATAATAAGCTCTTGATCGTTTTTTTTAGTTAAAAAATTACAATAGTGACTTGATAATATTTACTTTTGTTCATTTTAGGCGAATTTATTCACCGCTATTCTCTGTAAGCTTGATTACTGACGATTTTTTCGTCGTGCGAATCGTCGAACGAAGTCATGCGAGATGAAAGTCTTAGATATATCACGCGCACATACGAGTAATTTAGATAAAATTGCTGCTTGCGCGACGACGACGGGCTCAATTCTTGTGGAACCTCTGGTAATCGTTAACTATCAAAGAACTGAGTCGAAGAGACATCGATAACAGCGCAAAAATCATTAAAACAAAGCAATTCCTGTGATCAGCTGTTTACTCGGCACGTTGAGATAATTCTAATCTTTTCTCTTTTTTTTTATACGTTATTTTATCTCGTCTGGCGTCTCTTTCTCTACTTCTCTCTCTTTCTTCCTGTCTTTCGTTTTTGTGATAAAAAAAAAAGAAAATATTTAAAAAAAAGAAATTGTTAAAAGCAAGTTTCGTAAAAAAATCGGTAAAAACTTGCTGTTTCGATGTGACGTTCAACGGTGCAAGGAGAAAAATCGGTTTTACGTCCGACAGAGAAAGTTATGCACACCGTGCGCCAACCACAAAATTACTGAGATATTAAATAGTTTCGTTCGAAATGCGTACGCAAGACGGGCGTATGAGATAATATTAACTTGCAAACCTGTTGTTACTTAGGAATTTACAAATTACGTGTTTCATTTTGTAACGATCTGATAAAAAAATAGATAATAATGTATAACACTATATATATATATATATGTATAGTCTCAATAATTTTATACAGATTATTCTAAATTGTACACTTTTAAATTATACACCACTCTTGCATGATGTTACATCTAATAAACTAATTCGAGTGACGCATTATAGTTAATTAATTCTAGGTTATAAAATGCTGACCGATCAAAAGAACGTTAACTGGAGTTGACGAGGGATCCAGACTAATTTGTAGAGAGACGCCTAGTTGACCAACATCAATCAAGAGGAAGGAAGGAAAACACGCGCGCGTGCACAAACGCTTGTGAACTATCATTCGTGTAAGAAGCGAGAAAAGATACGATGGATCCTTATTCATTGAGGTGAGTACATCCGAAAAATTTATTCGCGTTGTCATCAAACAAATTGCTGCTGTAAACAATTGCCCTTACAACGCTTAATGGCACTCATGATTAGTGCGAATCATCATCAGAACGAATGTTTTTTTCAACTATCGGCAACAAGTTTTTTTTTTGAGGTCGCACTCGCGAAAGGACTTGCAAACGGACAACTTGATCGCGTGCGATGGCTCGCGTCAATTGACCTTCCATCCTGACGACGTGTTACATGTGTGACATTAGCTCTACGTGACAAATTATCTTTTATGTGTCGTAATGATCTCTAGACATTGCGGGACTAAAACACAGACGACAGTCTTCTTTTAGAAATTATACATCTACGCACACAATGTTTGCGCATGTGTATATATACTTTGTTTGTTAGCGTCACCACTGATGTGATTAGCAAAGCGAAGCTTTTAAAAGCCGAGCCGATCACGAGCCCCAATATTTACCCAATTGTTAATAACAAAAGCAGTCATATTTAATATACAAGTTTTTATAAGTAATTTAGTTGAAAGACACTAGAAACAACAGAGTTCAATGTATTTTATCAAATCCTTCACTTTAACGGATATTTGAAAGAAACGTTTTAGTCGTTATTTTTACACTTTATTTAATATTTGAGTAAGTACTTAACAAAAAAAAGCTTTCAGTTACAAAGATTCTTGATATATTTCACACTTACTTCTTTTCTTGATAAAATAAAACTACTCAGAACTCATTTCTTTCAAATAGATTACATTTCTGGAAAAACCTCGTCAATTTTGGCAGGTTTGTTTAGTTGTTTTAATGTTTAAAAGAACGACTCTATGTGTATGCAACGCACTGATGTAAATCCCCCGCGCGATTGTTTCTTAGAACATGATCTATCCGAATCGAAACAAAACGTGATTGCGTCACGAGACATATTCCTCTGTGCATTTTATTCGCGACTAGAAGAGAGAGCCTTCGGCGATCTATTCTTCGTTGAAACACGATGTATGTCGCGCTGTGATATGTTCAATTGAATTTACGTGGGATACGGAAACAAAGATGAATGAAACATTTTGTGACGCGCTTATCGCGAGGGATTGCACTTGACATATCATGATCGCTAATGTAATCGTAATAGTAACGTAAATATTAATAATATTTACTAATTCAATTGCTGTTATCGATTCGTTCTAAAAGAATATTAGTAATATATACATATAAGTTATCGTGATATGCATATTGTGTTATCGCTGCATAATAATTCTTAAAATTACAGAGAAACATGTAATATTGATTGAGCTTTATGTCCGTACATATCAGCACTTCCATATTCCATTTTATTCTTTTATTTCAACATAAAATACCAAAAAGACACGGTTGAAGATTTGTCCGTCTAGTATCGTACCGCGTCTAGCATGTAATTTGTTGAATGAGGGCCAAGGTTACGTCACGAGAGAGTGGGTTACGCCAGTTCGAGTGAAACGAGTCTACTTTTAGCAATGGAGCCTTAGACCGATCTCCCGAAAAATCTTTTAGACAGTAGCTGCGAATGCACATTCGGAACCTGAGCGAATGATAAACGTGTTAAAAATAAAAATAAAAAATAAAATAAAAAAAACCGAAAATATTCGATATGTGGCCCGGTAGTCGAGAAATCGAACGACCGTGAGTGCGAAACTCTGTGATCGGAGTGGCGATAAACCTTCGACAGCGCGCCAAGTATACACAGTTAGGTACGATAATTAGCCTCCCACGACGACGCGTATGGCAAAGTGAAATGACTCAATGATATAAGCTTGCCTGTATCATTCACGTGAAATGTCAAGCCTTTCTTGCGAGCAGGCGTACGTGCGCACAAACAAAACGCAGCTGTTGAAGAAGCAGGATGAAAAAACAATTAAATTTTATCTTTTTTCTATTTTCAAAGTCATTTAAACTATTTTAAGCAGCTTGTAATTAATAGAAACACGAAGAGAATGTTTTGAAAAATCATGGTATTCCGCAATGTCACTACATTGAATGTTGATTGCAATGATATAAAGATCAATAAAAATGAGTGATTGTCTCTCGAGTGTGTGTCTACATATTTTTTTTATAATGATAATTTATAACACAATATATAATTAGATATCGCATATGCTAAGACAATTGTAAATTATCATAACCACGATTTAATCGTAAGAAGAACTTTATTCCCGCTAGACAAAAGAGATGACTACATGAAAACGCGATGTGTATAGATACAATATTCTTGACTTGAATAGCGAGATTGCACAATTGTTGTCTGCACTATGTTTATGACGTAAGTAACACGATGTTAAAAGCTGAAGAAAATGTTGTTTTAAGTCATACATGGAACAGACCGCGCGTTGACTCATCTTGAATTGCAAGGAAGATACTGCTAAGTAATTTTATTTGTAGTCACTTTTTATAATGATACTACGACAATAATAATGTACCTAATTGTAACCTGAAGTGTGTATCTTATATATACACACACACACATATATATATATATACATACATAATATATATTAATGTATAATAGAAAAATGATTTTATAGCTTTTCAACAATAAGTTATTTATCTTGTCAGCTTGTTAAAGCTACTGTAAGATACTGGATTATAAAACGTAGCATGTAATAATGTACATCAATTACTGCGCGTTAATTTATCAAGCAGACGATTCTGTCTCCTGAGAATGTCAATCTATCTTTAGCTTGAAACAAACGCGAAATCGTTCGTTCAATGAGATCATTTCAAACGTTTTGTTACGTTGCGTTAATTAATTGTTAGCCTTTTTATCTAATCTCTCGAGAGAAGAAACTTATCACATCTCAGATTTGTAATATTTATATCATTAAAAAAATATTACAAATCCATATAATTAAATAATAAAGTTTTGAATAGTATTCGTTCTCTATATTTTTTTGCACAATGTCTTTGAAAAAGTTGTTAATTGAATGATATTAAGATTTGCAGTAATATAATCAATCTCTGCGATGAATTCCGATGCATCGCGCTTGATAACCGACTTGCTTAACGTGTCATTGTGTTATACGAGACAATCACTTGGAAACTATATAGTTCTGATTTGCTATAGTTTTGACATTGGTTATTTAAGAACCGTTGTTTGCGCGATAAATCATTCAAATAAAACTATTGCGACCCTGTTCTCTGAACTGATACACAGACACTTAATATCATGTCGCGTACGTATCAATTAAAAACTCACTCATATTGCATAAACGATAAGAAATCAAAATATTGATAGAGAGAAAAAGAGAGCAATGTGTGTAGACACACAGTTGCATATAATCTTTATATTTAGAGTCGTAAATTTATGTATAATTTCTTAAGCTTCTCGATATCTCACAGCCATTTTCGATTTTATGTCAGAAATGAAGAAAATCAAAGAAAATCACCAAAGTTTTACGAACTTTATTTAAAGATAAACAAATATTTCTGTCCAAACGCACGTATAATCAATAGAGTATATTTGGTATATAAAATACCAATTTTCTTTTAATTTTATACAAAATATCGCATATCTACAAATTTGAGTAAAAAATTTTGAGCAAAAAGTCTTGAACTTGTCGTTTATTGCGATATCACAATATGTATTAATGTAAGTACATATAAATTGAATATATATGTATATAATTGAATATATACATATATATATATATATATATATATATATATATAAATTGAAATTTAATCTGATAATTATGCAGCGTATTTGACAAATAGCATTTCTATACACAAGAACTGGCGTGACAGCAAAACACACGATACGATAAATATTTACCCTATGCGTTACAGTCACAGTGTACGAACAAACACATCGTGTGCGATAATCGCAATTGCAAAGTGACGTCTCATGTCTCATCATATAACGAGATGTCGAATAGAGATCGATCATGTTACTTTATGTGAATGTTATTGTTTCAGTGTGGAACGGGAAGCTTCAAAAAATATCGAGGAGAATGAACGAGAGTGCTTCAAAGACGCGATCGTCTCGAGTCGAAGTCTTAACAAAGGTTTCGTCGAACCAACTAATATTAGAAATGCTATCCGAGAGGTAAATTACAATATAATTATCTTGTGTAAAACGATAGATTTCTAGTTTGTTTTTAGCGTTTCCACAGTTTATTTTCTATACACATACGAACTTGAAATTTTGTAAGCATCCATCTTTTCGAATAAATATATTGAGACAAATGGAATTATGATAGATATTAATTAAAGAATAAGTTCTTTCCAAGTTTACAAACTTCTAAACTAAAAAAGAAACATCAATCATACAAAACTATACGCAAATGTTAGAGACATTCGAGAAAGATTTAAACACTGAATATTGTTTTGCCTTACCTAGACAGATTCGTGCGCTTTTGATTTGTCAAGTTTGTCTTCCCTCCTCTCTGGCTTATGTTAGTCTCTAAATTTATTGTTTGTTTGTCGGTTTCCGTATTGCTCTTATTACTCTTTTTGTCGTTTTTTGAGAAGTACGGATCTCTATTTTTGCTGTAAAATAATGTATTGATTTTGCAATAAGTATCGTTACAAGTTTCTTATTAGCTTACAGTAGTAGCTTAGCTTACAAGTTTCTTATTAACTTACCGGCCGATACCTGGTAACAGGTTCCGGATTCGAATACAGTTGTAAATGATATATCCCACAACGATTTCTTCTTTACTGAGTTAGTTTTAAAATAACCGAAGTATAATGAGGAAACACTTATTCGATTGCATAGGTTTTGCTTTGAAAATAAAAAGGTAATTGAGAATAAAATCTGTGCGTTTTGTACGGCGTTTTTCTTTTATAATTTAAGTAGTAAAAATATCTTATGATTAGTGATAAAAAAAAAAATCTAAAACCAGGTTGTTGAGCGGAATTAATCAATATTTAAAAGACAAAAGATATTTGTAGATGAATAATTTGTCTGATTCTTTTACTTATATATATGTATTTTGCAAAGAACTTGATATATAACAGCGAGTTTCTTTTCAAAGCGAAACCTTTATTACGCAAAAACTATACATGTTAACATCTCGGATCTTTGCAGATCGCCGCGTGCATCATCGCAGCGTCTTTCCACATAGCGGTTGGTCTCGCTATGGCATACTCGGCAACTCTTATTCCACATCTCGAGAAAAAAGACGCGGAAGTACATGCCACGAAAGAGCAGACTTCATGGATAGGTGAGATAAAGCAAATGTTTTTTAAGCGCACGTCACAACGGAACAATATCGCAGAAACGAAACGTGTTTTGTGTTGTTCATTCAGTAAGGATTGTTTCTTAAGTGAAATTACGCGATAAATAATAATCGAGCATATCGCTTGGTGAATGACGAGTTCGAGGAAAGATTCGTATCGATACAGTCAGAGTCTAACTTTTGCGATATAGAAACTCTTATCATGTGAAATGGCAACGTCACGGTAGCAACAGTCAAATTTTTGCGATAAAAATATTTATCGTTAAGCAGCACGCGCGAGTAAACATGAATATAATCGATAGAGACTTGTGTCTCTCCTATTGATAAAGAATTATCACGAGAGCAGACGAGTATTACGTAAAACTTGTCGCAATTGTCAAACAGGAATCACGTGCAAGCCGTTATACATGTATGTCTGCTGATTAACAGACAACGCTCGATCGGTTTTCGTGCTCTGATTAAATCTACATTACGCAATTCAATCTGCGTCCATCGATATCGCAATCTTCGCGTAATAATGCAAGTCCGTCGCCTTTGTTGTAAATACATTTTTCATCCGGAAACATGTCGACGCATCGTCAACGAACATCTCTTTAATTATTTTTTAAAATAAATATTTTGAGAAAATGTGTATGTTTAAAAAAAATTAAAATTTTGAAGGAAATTTTGTGTGATGGAGAAAAGACAATTTTGCGATAAAATCGCACACATCGAAACTAACAAAACGCAACATATAAAATGCAAATAAAGAAGTTCACATAAATTAAAAAAGAATTGAAAATACAAAAATCATATGTCTATGACAAAAATTGATTTGACTTTCAGCCAGCTTGGTTGTCGTATGCGCGCCGATCGGCGCCCTGTTGGGCGGCTTCCTGATGGAAATGGTCGGTCGACTGCGAACTTTGCAGATCGGGGCGATTCCTTGCATTTGCGGTTGGATTCTCATCGCTCTCTCGACCAATTTGCCGATGTTGTTGGTCGGTCGCTTGCTGTCCGGACTTGCGACCGCCCTGGCAACCTCGCCCGCAATCGTTTACATCACCGAGGTGGCCAGGCCGGAGCTGCGAGGCTCCATGATCTCATTCGGACCGACGTTGGCGTCGTTCGGAATGGTGCTGTCTTACTTAAAAGGTGCTTACCTACACTGGCGAACGGTCGCTTGGCTTAGCATCATCTATGCGATCGTACCTATTATCCTGGTGGAGCTGTGGGTGCCAGAATCGCCGGTCTGGCTTGTCTCCAAAGGCCGTATCGATGAAGCCAAGAAGTCCTTAGAACGGTAAGTCTAGAACTTGATTAGAAAGTGAAATGTTTATAAATTTTTCTAAATACTAAAAAAATAATAAAAATAAGAAAAGTGAGAAAAAGTACTATATGAAAGTACTATATGAAGAAAAGGCCAAAACGTCGGTGATTCTGCGTAAATAATTATTATATGTAATCTTCAATATAACAGTGTAAACTAAACAACAAAAGTGTTTAAATATTCGCGCAAAAAAACAATGGCTCTTTTTTTTCGCTCTTTTCTTTACATATATTGTATCTTTGTAGAGCCTACAGTTTTGTTGATTTGTTACTAATTGTTATACACACATATAAAATAACTTAGTAATTTCCGATGTGTTGTTTAAAGTTTCGAAATCTAATGTTTTTATTACGGATTTGAAACTTCGATTGTTGCTTGCGTAGGCTTTACAAGAACGAAACAACAATCGAGGCGCAGTTCACCACTATTATGAAGGAGAACGAAATTAAATTGAGCGAACAACGGCGGAGCAAACACGGCAACGCGTCGTCTAAGCTTCGTGGATTTCTCAAGCCGACCGGGTGGAAACCCATGTCAATACTTTTTCTGCTTTTCTCTTTCCAGCAATTCTCCGGAATTTACATCACATTATTCTACGCAGTGACTTGGTTTCAAGTAAATAAAACAAAATATATACATTTATTATAAGTTTTCTGACCTGTAATAAATTAATAACCAACATCGATCGTCATCAATTTTAATCCCTGTGTGATTAAATCGTAGGAAGTGGGCGCTGGTGTTGACGAATACATCGCGTCTATTTTGGTTGGCGTGACGCGTTTTCTATGTTCCATGATAAACACCTGGCTGCTAAGACGATATAAGAGACGAGCGTTGTGCATAATTTCGTGCATCGGAATGGCCGCGTGCATGGCTGTTTCCGGTTATTTCACGTTGAACATAAAAAATGGCAATCGCAGCGGCTATTGGGTAAGTTCGAAGATTGCGTTCAAATTAATTTTTGTCAAGAAGTTCATTTTTGTTTTTATCGAACGATGTTTATTAGGTACCGGTGCTGTGTCTGTTACTTTACGTATGTACGTCGATGGTCGGGATGCTGACCATTCCGTGGACCATGACGGCAGAATTGTTCCCGACTGAGATCCGCGGAATCGCTCATTCCATCAGTTATTCCATGGCAAATCTGCTCATGTTCGCAGCGCTACAAAGTTACAGAAACTTGCAAACTTTTCTAGGAGGTACGCGCCTTATTGTCGTATTATCTCATTTATAATATAGTAATAATTTTAATTGAAGTTTCTTTACATTGCACGCAGATAAGTGTTATCTACTTTGTATCTTTTTTATCTCTCACATTTATGTTTACAAATCTTTTTGTGTTATCTCTACTAATTTAAGTAGTTGAGTCATTACTTTTTCAATATTTTTCACTTATTATAAAGAATTCTGTTCGCAAAATGTGTGTAAAATCTTGCGTTTTCAAGGATCGTACGCGGTACAGTGGTTCTTTACCGGTGTTTCTCTTGGGGCGGCTGTTTTCGTTTGGCTACTCTTGCCGGAGACTCACGGAAAGAAGCTGTCGGAAATCGAAGAGTACTTTCAGAACAACTTCCTGGCCCTGGGAGTGGAGGCAAAGGAGAAGAAGCGACGTGCCAAGCGAAGAGCGCAGCAGAAGAAGTTGCAAGGCACCGAGCCGCTCCATCCAAAAAATGTGCAGAACGTTTAAGACGCTTTTTCTTTTTTTTTTTCGTTTGTTTTTCTTTTATCGCGATCTGCATATTACAGATACGCAGAGTTTGAGCGGTTTCAGAGACAGTGACCAAAGTATTGAGACATCATGAGAATACAGCCTATACCATTTTTACAGAATTTATATATACTATTTAGATCGCGAATTATACACGCGAGATGTAATTTATTTACGTGAGATACATGCCGGTCGTCGAAAGAACGCACAACCTCAAAACAGAACAATAACATATATACAAAGATAAGAAAATGGTCTTTGCATCTTATTTTTTACTCTTTTCTTATTCGTTATTAAATAATAGAATCCAAACGATCGACGATACACATTTTGCATTTATTATGTAAATGTATACACTTTGTTTCTTCTGTCATGTCTTGATAAATCAAAGCTACTAATATATGTAGAATCATTGTGTAAAGAAAATGCACGTTGAAAAAAACGCGTGCGATTATCTTGCGAAAAGTATATGTACGTTCTGCGTTAGAAAGTGCCTCTCTATTTTTCTTTTCTACAAATATTTTGTGCAAAAACATCGTCATTACAATATTACCGATATTGATCTGATGCCATGCAGATTACTATTTAATCACAAATTGCGTGACTCGCGTGATAAAGATTCTCTGATATTATCGTTCTTTTTGCGTGACTTTTCCTTTTATTACTTATCACTACCATACCGCTGATAGCATAATGGTGATGAAGAAAACAAAAGTTACGAGTTGTGCTAGAATTTTAAACGGTTTGGAAAGGTGCGCGATGAATCTGTATACAAATGCATGAACGTTTTTTCTAAACAAATCGATCATCCTTTCTCAAAGTTAAAAGCTCTTCGCGGGAAATCGCGCGCTGTGTTAAATAATAAACAAATTACTTAAATAAATCCGTTTGATTTCGCGAGCATTAGCGTTTTTGTTTACTTTGAAGAGAAGATATTTAAACCTGATTTAGTTTATTAAGAACTATTCAGACGGAACAAGATGTTTGAGGGAAGTCGCGCTTGCAATGACGTACAAAGCAAAAAAAAAAAAAAAATAAACCAAATTTATGTTTTATACTTAAATGTTATACACAAAAATTGCTCGCTTCAGCGGCGAAAGAAAGTAATACAACACGCCTTTTATATTTGTGTATATTTGTATAGATAGAATAAAAATCATATTTAAAAATTATATAAAAAAGAATTCAACACACCCCGAATAATGTAATAAAAAATTATTGTCTGACTTTAAAAGCAATTTTGCTTAGAGTTCGTTCCGTCTAAATAGAGAAGACGAATCATTGAACCGCGTAAGTTCGTAACGAACGGTACATTCGTCAATTTGAAAGAGATGAAATAAAGTTGAACTCTGTATTTTGTAAGCCACAATACGCCATATATACGTATATAAATGGTAAAATTACGAATAAAGCTTTTGGTAGTTCCTCTCGTTGCGCACGTTGCGCCTTTGCAAGATAGACAGTTTTCGTCTTTCGTTGTGTGACTGGTTTTATCGTTATCCGCGTGTACTTACAATTGATCGATCAATTTCTATGTAGTAACTAATTTCTTTCATACAGAAAAGCGAGAAATTGAAGAACAAGGCTACAAGGCTTATCGTTAAAACGGATGTACTTTTACCACATGTGATATTATTTTTCTTGTTTTTTTTTTTCCCGCAAACGGACTTAGAATTTTAATATACGCAGTTATCCCATACACACGTGCAGAACGAGAAGAGAGAATTTGTTTGTGTATTTGTTTGTGCAATAAGAGCGACAATAGGATTTTCGCATTTCTGAGATTTTTCACAGAACAATTGTATGATAAAAAAGAAATCGTTTTATGAGAAGAGTTTTTGAAACACTAAGATATCATGTGCGTCATGCGCGCATTGTTATCGCGAAAATGCGTGATTTTGGAACGAAAACATTCCTTCTATGATATGTATTCTGTCGCTCTTTTTCTGTATGCGAAGATTGAGACATGTAATGTTGATCCATGTACTTCGTGTCGTTATAAACTGCTACCGCAGTATATGCGATGTCATTGTAAAATTGTACTAAACAATTTAATAAAGTTTATTAACAATAGTTGTGGTTGGTAAAACGATAATACTTACGTAGCTGTGATTCACAAGAAAACTATTTCGAAGAGAGACCAACAAAGAAACTGCGCGAAATACGTTGTTCAATTGTGAAATCGCGCATGCGCAACGTTCTCACTGCGTTCAAAAAACCCAACAGGTTGCACCGAGATAATGGGTGCGTTCAGACAACTCAACAGTTGCACAACGGTTGAAAGATAATCACTTATGATTGGATCATACTTTTGGAACCGTAGCAGGTTTTGAAGAATAGTCCTATCATAAGTGATGATCTCTCAACCGTTGAGTTTTTTCTGAACGTAACCAATCAATTGCAACAGTGAGAAGACTGAGAGCGGCCAGACCCATAAGAGAATGTGTAATCGCTTTTCAGCTCTGTAAGCCAGCGCAATGTCCATGGATGGTGCACATTGACAACTACGTAGCCATGTCTACAAACGATTTATCTCGGTACGTACATTATGTTCACGACATGGTTCTATTCCGTGCTATATATGTATATATACAGAATTTAAATGCAGGAATAGAAAGAAGTCGAGAAAGTGCAAAAGAAGAAATGAGAAGGTGGCTCCCGGGCTGTCACCAGTTAAGCAAAAGGGAGTTTGAAAGACAATTCAAAAAAATAATTTTTTCTACGGAAATACGGTAGGTTTTTCCTGTTTTGTTTTTAATAAAACCTGAAACGCACAATTCAAATGCGCGCCAGTAAACATTAAAAAAAAGTTTATTAAGGTTTTTCCATGTATATCCAAAGTATTCGACTATCTTCATAGACAAAATCTGCAGCAACAAAAGATTCATTACCACATAAATATGCTGGTTTCCTCAACAATAAGAGAGATAATTACAAATGTCTTCTTTTTGTTTTTCTGAAATCGAATGATAATCAAACTAATCAAAAGTTTTGTCCGCTCATTTTTTCCGCTTTGTAAAAAAAAACTTCTATTATCCGTTTCAGTACAATGCAACGATTTTCCAAAATTTCAGCGGCGCAAAAAAATCGCATGACAGATTATACAAAAGTTTGTTACACTATCGATTGAAATTATTTAAGTATTATATACGTAAAAACGGTTTCTCAAGGATGGTGATAAAAATTACGATAAAAGTTTTGCACTGGGGATGATAATTATATATACTGCTTTTTTGTTTTAGAGGGAGTAGAGCTTGCATTATGCACAAAGCGATTTGGTATCGCAGAAAACGTTTGTGCGTGTGTGTGTGTAGTTTGATCAAATAACCCGAATTGCGCATGTCTTTTCATATTTAGCAAGAAAAAAATAGTGACAAGATATTGTAACATCAAATTCGTCATTCAAGTGTGAGTTGTCACAACTAAACATGTTACAATATCTTATTATTTTCTCTCTCTCTTCTTGCTTAAATATGAAAAGATATGCGCAATCTGGATATTATTCGATAAATCACACATGTATATATATATATATTACACGCGTGCACGCGCCTACACACACGCACACAAATAGCGGTGCACATAAGGGCGGCTTTCCGATGAAAAACGCTCAACAAACGTTCAACAATGGAATTTGCTATCCATGTAAGAGAGATAACACGTATAGTAATAATGAATAATAAAAAAAAAAAAAAAAGAAAAAAGAATTTTTTAAAAAAGAAGATTTTACTCCCTAAAATAAATTTTTGCGTCGATTGAACGATCCGGGAAAGAGAAAAAAACTGATAGCTATGAAATCGTTCGTGTTGAACGCAACCGTTTACACCATTTAAGATCCTTACGTATATCACACACGCATCGACAATTACAACGCAAGTCGGAATATATCGATACATATAATATAGTAATAATGCTTATAAAACTTAACACAACAAGCGAATCGATAAAGATATCACCGTGCAGAGTTCGGTTGTTAGAGAAAGTGCCTCGTAAAATCATCCTCGGCACGACCAACGACGACGCTGCAGGCAGTGATAATGAGCTATCTAATTTGTATATCAATAGTTACATTAGACTCTACGTATTGTGTGTGTATATATGTGTATATATATGCATATATACATACATACATACATACATACATACATACATACACATACAAACATACATACATACATACATACATACATACATACATATATATATGTATATATATATATATATATATATATATATATATATATAT